TAGTGTAGATTCTAAATTGTTCAAATCATGACCCAGGGGATAGGGCGGGGCCACAATAGGGGGAATCCGAAGTTTTACATTGAAATATATAGGAAAAATCTTTCAAAATCTTCTCAAGAACCACTGGACCAGAAAAACTGAAACTTATGTGGAAGCATCCTGGGGTAGTGTAGATTCTAAATTGTTCAAATCATGGCCACTGGGGGGAGGGTGGGGCCACAATAGGTATTACAAGGGGGAAGTCTGGTAATGAACAGCATGGCCAAAGTTACTCAGGTGAGCGATGTGGCCCATGGGCCTCTTGTTTTTCATTATATACTTTACAGCAATCTATAACAAATGTAATGTTATAAGAGAAATTCCACCTCTCCCATGGGTGTAATCATCAAGCACTGGTCAAGGAGAATTTTGATAACAGAAAATTACATGTCAAATTAGAGAGAAATTAATGAGTTTAGTGTGAGGAACTAACTGGTAGAGCATCTCTGATCAAGCAGGTGTTATCTATGTCTCCTGGGAATTGTGGACAGGAATCAGTGTTGGATTAAATGAATAAATGAATCTATTTGGCTAGCCTTTTAACTTTTAAAATGAATTTGGTGAAAATTAATTAAAACTAACTTGATAATGTATAATAAACTAATTTGATATTGTATAATATATACCGGGGGGGGGGGGGGGGGAATATTGGAATCAGCATGTCAGTTTGTCTGTTTGTCAATATGAACTGCAGCTTAAAACCAGTCTGACATTAAATCTCAAAAAAATCATCAAGTATTTCTTTTTTTAAATGTTTTATGGTAGATAATTCCTACAAATTTAAGAGTCATGCAGTAATCTTATTAAAAATATTGCATCAAGATTACACAAGTTTTTGTTTCTTTTTATAAATCTTCGTAACAAATTAAAAAAAATCTCTGTTTTCAACATAATAACATAAATATTCATTTTTATTACATTGAATACAGACTATTAAAGCAGATAGTGCAGATCCATTCATCCCTTGGGAGTAATGATTGGGGCTTTATATTTGTCTAGTGCATTACCTATGACAAGGTTTCTGAATGTGCTATATTTGAACCGTGACCTTGATCTTCAGAAGTTTGACCAAATTTTCAAAAATTTTATAATTGCTGTTAACTTTTGAAGGAGAGAAAATAGGGGATTCATATTTCATATGTACATCACCTGTTTAAAGACCTTTCCAAATGTACTCAGCTGGTTTTTGACCTCACGACCTTAACCTTAAAGTTTAAAATACAATCTTTTTCCAATTATTTTTTTTACGTTGGTAATTACTTTTGAATAAGAGAAGATAGGACTTTCATAATTTACATGACATATACATCATCTATGACAATACCTTTCAGAAAGGTATGTCATTTTTAACTGGGTTCTCTGTAGAAAGAAAATCTGCTTATTGAAATGGTAAAATGGCAGGTGGATGGAAGGGTAGGTAGGTGCCAAAAGGGTACCCTTTTTGTCCGGATAACTCCTCCTACAGTTCTCAAGATAACTTTTTATACCCCCCCCCCCAAAAAAAAAGTTTAGGGGGATATTACGGAATCACCTTATCTGCCCTTTCATCCATCCATCCTTCTTCAAATTTCTCCTGGCTATAACTTTGTTATGGAGAGACATTGAAAGCTCATACTTTGTACAGAAATTGCTTATGACCCTTCAATTTGTCATGACCTTGATCAAAGGTCATTCTGGCAAGTTCTAGGTCACTGGTATAAAGTATAAAATTCTCCTCTATGCTTAAACTTTGACTTTGTTATTGAGAATCACTGGAAGCTCATACTAAGTACAAAGATTGCTTATGAATCAAGGGTTTGTCTTGACCTTGACCCAAGGTCATTCAAGTAAGTTCAAGGTCACTGACAGAAAAAAGTATAACATTCTTATCTGGGCTATAACTTTGTAATGGAAAATCATTGAAAGCTAATACTCAGTACAGAGATTGACATAAGGGTTAGTAATGACCTTAATCCAAGGTCATTCTGGGAAGTTCAAAGTCACTGGCAGATAAAGGATAAATCTCTTGTCTAGTCTAAAACTCACTGGAAGCTCATCTTGGTACAAAAATTGCTTATGTCTGACGAGTTTGTCATGACCTTGACCAAAGGTCATTCCAGCAAGTTCAAAGTGTAAAATTCATGACAGGATTACAGTTTTCAAGAGAAGTACCAGGTCTGTTCATAGGAAAACCTGGTTTGCTGTCACATTGATAGTTTTCCACTTGTTTACTCCATGACCTTGAGCTACAAGTCTAACCTACATTTCAAAAAAATTTAACTTTGGCCATAACTTTAGCACCAGAAGAGACAGGGCTTTTATATTTTTTTCATATGTACATTACTTGTGATCTTTCGGATTGTACATGTATTATGGTATTTGTCCTCTTCATGACTTTGTTCTTGAAGTTTGATGCTGTTTTAAGAAGATTTAATCTTTGCTGTTAACTTTTATTATTTCAATACACATGTAATTTATATCT